GGACCAGGGAGGATGATTCAACCACTCAACCACTAGATGTCGCTGAAAACAACAAATCCTACACACTGTGCCTTTAAGGGAGGAGTGCAATTTCAAATGCATTTGTACCGTCCTCAGGCCCCTTCAGCATTGGAGTGATAGGCAAATGCCTTATAGGCTACCACACTGTGACTGCTCTGGGTAGAGTGCTAAGTTGCTAATAGGGCTGGGTGATATGGCTGAAAAATGCATCAGCATCACAAGTGTTTCATATCAGCCAATATCAATAATCATTGATGAGTTTTTTTTTGTTTGACCAGGAGAAAAAAGGCAGATTAATGTTGCAAAATTGGTGATGTGGCCTTTCCTCTTTTATCCACAGTTTCCTCTGAAGCTGTTGAACTTATTTTCTCCTTTCACTCCACGTCATTCTGTTTTATTTTGAATCAGTAACGAGGCACGGCGGTGAAACATGAAACTGTTACTGTAGATGTTGTTAGCCGACCAAAGAGTGAGCGAGTTTGTTGATGCCACCAACCTAGCTTAGCTGGGCCATGAGAGGTCGAGCAGCTAAAGACTTTCCTCTGCCTACATCCCCCAGAATGCTAGGCATGGTCGTGACTCCTACACCAGCGGTTCCCAACCTTTTTAAACTTGTGTACTCCCTGAACCATTTTGTCACACCCCTAGTACCCCCTCAGTCAAACGTAATGATGATTCTCCAAAACTATAATGTATAACAATTGATTATTAAATGAAAATTATTTATTTAATCCCCTTAACATTTAATTCTCAGGCATTTTATTCTTTTAAACTCAAATTAAACATAAAGATAAATATGTTGCCTTGAAAATGAATAAGTAATTAAATGAATACACCAAGAAATGGCAGGTACAGGAAGCAGCAGCATTCAAAATACCTCAGAAACTCACCCAAATTAGCAAATTCTGAGATTCTGCATTTTATACTGGATTCTATTTTGTTTAGTCAATTCCACGATTCTGTCTGCATTTTTCACATTGAGAAAATCATAGGGCCCTACATACCTCAGTCCTATTTTTATAAATTTTTTTACCTGGGAAATTTTTCCATGTATCCACTGTAATATGCTCGCGTACCACTGGGGGTACACGTACGCCTGGTTGGGATTCACTGTCCTACACGACCTGCAATGTGACTATTGTGTACACAAACACTGCAATGACAAGGATTAACCGATATATTGTGCAGCTCTAATAAGGTGGATGAGTGTATGGAGTGYCTATTTTGTGCCTAACTGGTGTCATTTATGTTCTGTAGCAAAAGTTCACAAGTATGTAGAGAAGTGGGGGTCTGTGGGTTAATGCTCAATTTTTCCCCGACATGGGCTCTTTCTTATAACAGTTTAGCGACAGAATGTTCCATCTTTCTGCTGCTTCTGTCCATTCATAAATCTCACACAAAGCTGGCCATGTTCTGCACAGACATGATCAAAAGAGGCGTGAAGCTGAACTCAGCTGTGTTGATGTGGAGCTCAACGCATCAAATGTGTGACAGATGTCTTCCTTGTATCGTTTTTCAAGCAAAGAACCTGGAACCCAAACGTCTAAGCCAGATAAATTTCAAACGCCACAAG